GGTAGTGTTCCTAGGCTTCGTCGTAGAAATTCCGAATGCATATTGTAGACCAACATCCGTGAATGACTCAAGGCTTGTATGTGAAATTTACAGCATTGATATTTTCTGCATGAACACCACCCGCTACTAGAGCCCGATTTGATAAATAAATACCACGGCCACTCATCTGTTTGATTTAATTTCAAGAGTTTTCCATGGTCTGACAAAAGACAATGTCCAGTCTGGGTTCAAACATGGGATCCACGTTGGTAGTTGAGACGCCAGATGAATAGCGAGTATTTGATGCTTCTGTGTTACGAGATGACTTTCTCCAGCAATGTACACTGATAGTGACAGAGGCAGTGTTGACTGCCACTCAGAAATAAATGTCAGAATTTAGAATTCACGACACAAAAAATCAGAATAAGCCTCCAAACTTGACGTGAACTCAATTAAGATTTCATTACGACCAGCTGGACTGTACAGTTGGGTGTGTTGCTCTCATTGAAGTTGGTTGTCGGTTGAAAAACGTATCAGGAAAAAGCTGGCTTTTTAGCCGATCAGCCTACTATCCTCACGTGACCTACCAAGAAGAACCAAGAAGAACGTAATTTTTTGTAAGGATTCCGAATAACAAGGTACTTGAAAACTAGAATTTTGGCGAATCAGATAAGGCTCAATTATTTTGGTTCGCTTCAGGGGTTAACGGTGTTCAAAATTCCTTTGTACTTTTGCTTGACACATCTGCTAACCAAGGTAGCACGTCTAGCAACTCCACACAGTTGTACTAAATTTGTCCTTGAGAAAAATCTCCTAGACTTTCTTTACGTTGCCTCATCCAGCGCCTGATTTCTGGTTCCTGAAATTTGACCTTCTGATTCATTAAACTAGTGGTCAGGGTCCCCACGCACCAGTCTGAAACCGCTCGACGAAATTCTCTCCAAATTATGTTTCATATAAATAGTTGGACGTTTGGAAATAGGCTGACACTCGCACTCTTTATGCCGGATTATGCAGACCCCTGAGCAGCCCAAAGCGCTGTCCAACCGAATCAAAAACTCAGTGGGTGTTTTCTGTGAAGACTCTCTTAAACACGTACATAAATGTTAATCGAAACCCATCACCATTTGTGACGAGCACGTGACGGCATCACGTCATTTTGAAGGTTCATGGGAAAGGCTGATAAATTTGTCCGTTTGAGCTGAAAAGCCGATTGGATGTCCATCCAAGAGAGCGAAAACGATGGGTGTGTAAAAAACTTGCGCGGACTGTGTGGTACGGCAAGCTGCCGACGTTGTGGAGTCGGCACATCCGTCACCTCCACGTGTTCTGGCACAATCAAGTTCCTGCAATCTATGCCAATTTTGTAAGCTGCAACGAACAAGATGACAGATTTCACGAGTTTCAACATGACTTCGGAAACCTTGTCGCCAATAGTTAAGCATAGAAGGTCAATATGTACGGAGACAGGTAGTCAGAATGTTGGGGTTACGAGCACGTAGACTCTCAGGCTGATTAAGTAAGAATAATATCAGTTCCCGAAAACAGTCCAATTTGGGTTCAAGTAGAACATAAGGCTGGCGGAAACTCGGGGATTGCGCTTACTTGATGAGCCCCAAGAAGGGCGAAACCAGTCGTGGGCTGCCGAAGAGTTTTCAGCAACCTTGTGAGTAGTTTCCCTCACAAGAATGCTTTCTTTGTGCAGTACAGTTGAGGTTCTTATAGGCCTTGGGTTCATTCAACTTATCATATTTTCTGGAATTGCATGTGGCTGCCGGGTTCTCCTTTATCGGTCACAAGATGGTTTGTGGGGTTAGCGGTTTTGTACGTACGAAGAGGGTAACGCATGTATGCATTATCATTTGCTGCAACAAGAGTTGACTACATGTGCCAGTTCCGACGGGTTGACTTATATTTAACCTGTGCTTACTTGTCATGCAATACGCTTCAGTGGCCCGATGTCACGAGCGTAGTGCTGCTGATCGCAACTGCTATTCGTGGGAGGTGTGACCAACGAGGTGGCGTCAGTCGGTGAATACCCTTTCAAGTTGTCGGCGTGTCGGCGTTGGGCGAGGACGAATTTTGTGTGACCGGCGAATGTTTTACACCAAAGTCTACCAATGCGGAATGTCGGTAAGCACTCCTCAGGCCAAAAACGTTCCCAGGGGAAGCATTGGGGAGTCTAGGACGTGTGAAAGTGGGAATGCGGTTCATAGCTAACTGAAAAGTACATGAAACTAAAGACAACATCATTCGAAGGTCACGTTTGATGAAAAGAACGAAAGTAAGTTAGTGTACTACTCATAAGGTTGCTGAGAATAGTCGCCTGAGAACATCATAAACGAGAGATTCAGCTGGGTTCCAGGTGAGTCTCTCGAAAGAACCAAATTGGTTTGCAAATGAATGTATATTCGCGAAAGTAAGTTAACTTGAACAAAGAAAAACGTGCTGGATGTGATCTGGTTGGGAAGTAATTAGGTGACAAGCATCGACCAAAGTCTGTTTTACCAGAATAATGGCGATTAAAAAAGTAATGTCAAAAGTAATTTGCACGTGTTAAAAATAAATACATTTCAAGGATGGAGTAAGCGGAAAAACGATTTATCGTTTGAGGAACAACTGTCGTAGTTCCAGGACACAGGACGTGTCTCCTGTGCAGTATAGCTGTTACAGGAGACTTGGAGACTTGTGGAGCTCGGTTGATTGCCTGTCTTGTGCGCGCGAGTGTGCGCATGTGTTTGGGCCAAGTTGCTGTCCTATTTATTGTATGCATAGCGTCCATTCGTCTTTGATACTTGCACGAACTTGAATAGAACTTGACCCGATGTGGTTGACTTCCGTAAGACTGGCGCGTGACGCAGGTGGTAGCCGCGTAAACGAAAATGGATGGGAAGTTGTAGTGCACATGCTCTCGGCGGCAGCAAGTGGGACAGGAGCAGTTACGTGATTTAAGTGTTTGTGACGCGTGATCCAGTGAATGAACGCTCCCGATGCCCGCTCCCAATACATGAAGTGGCCTTTCACGAAAATGGACGTTACTTTGTGCCTTGGAAATAGCACATAGTGAAACCTCATGAATGATTCCCGTACACCTTGGGAACTAGAAGGAACACGATCGTTTTCTCCTGTTTTTCTTTCCACATCTTGAGCTAAGAGCTGAATTAGAACACAAAAACAAAGCGTCCAAGAGCTTTGATGAATATTATGTTAAGCCGTCATCTTTTACTGCTTGGACTAGTGAGTGTCGCTCACACTGACAAGCGTTGATAGCTGCGGTGCACTTGGGCAAGCCACAGTGCTCCTCAGATTGTTTCAAATGTTTTCGTCCATATAGGACGAAAATCGATCACAAATCCAATGAACTTCTATCCTGAGTAAAATATTTTGAAAAGTACAACTTGTTGTGACGCGAAAACTACAGACAGACGCAAAACTACGATGATGAAGGACATTTCTACAAGGAAAAGATAAGGAATAATAACACACATGTGTACAACACGCACAGAGAGGTGATGAATACCACTCAGACTCATCAGTCGCTTTTCATCTGACCTGATAGCGTGTATTGGGTATTCTGGCTTACCAATCCTGACAGCAAACCAGTGCAATTTGTTGTCGTGGGCACCTGAGGAAATGTTGTAGCTACCCTTTCACCACATACATGACTGTACAGGTCACCAACACTCGCTAGATCACGAGAGCTGAATTTGTTAATGCTCTACCAGAACCCGAAAATTAGTTGTATGAACGAGAAAACTGGGAGCACCAACAATATCAGTTTGTTGAGTAGAATTATTACAACAGGTATATATACGAACAAGGGACTTATCGTGTTGCAGATTCAGGTTGATAAATCCTGTTGTAAGTCCGGATGCAGGTTTCGTGTCTCCTTCGCTGTTGTAGCAGCCACACGTATTCCCTGACTATCCGTGAGTGAAGCGCCGTAGGTCCTGACCGGCTCTGTTCCGAGTTGGGCGACGTGCGAAGCTCTGTTGAGTTGCTGTGCCGTTATCCTATATGTAGGAACGTCTGCGTGTGTGTGTGTGTCAGCACATGACTTGCTGCTACCTCATCGGACGGTAGACAGTCGATGTCAAGGAGTCACCCTTGTGTGTCGTGATTTGTACGTGTAGGGGAAGAAAGGCGAGTCTTGGGATCAAGGGCTTGACTGTGAGCTGTGTAGTTAAGTGAGTCACGATTCCATGGCGTGATTTGTGAGTGTAAAAAAGACAGATCTCGTGATCTAGCGAGTGTCGGTGACCTGTACAGTCATGTATGTGGTGAAACGGTGGCTACGATTTTACAGACTACAATAATTGTTTATTACTGATAAAGAATATGCTTGAATTTCTGTGGCATTTTACTCAGCATACATGAGGTTCGTTTTTATCAGAGTTACTCGGCTTCATATTACTTTGATGTTTGATCTCAGAAGACTGTATCACTCTCTCTCTCTTGCGTACCAGGTTATCTGGTCGAAACGCACAATTCTTCCTTCAATCAGTCTTCTCTCAGGAATCCGATCACAAGCGGCCATTGCTCACTGCATTCCAGCCCCAAAGAATCTACTGACGCTCCAGACAATCCGCTTGGTGTTGCTTCCAACGCTTCACGCAAAAACTCTCATTTAGAACGATCTTTTTTTAAAAAGACTTCCAGGCCAGCGACTTCCCCTTGTGTTTGTTGTACAACCGAAGAAATTGTACCCCATAATCTATCAGAATCAGAACTTTCAGTTGAAAACACCAACCGAACGGTCAGATTTTGCTCACTCACGGTCCAATGGATTCTCATGGGCCTCCTATCCGCTTTGTCACTTCTATCCTTCGTAGCTTTTCTTCTAGTCTACAAGCGACATGCTAGCCTAATCCAACGAGTCCAATTCGGTGTGCTTCGTGAATTACAAAAACATGAGCCAAGAATCGTGGTGTAGAAGGAGATCTTGTTGTGTAAATACCGGCTGTTTTTGTGTGTCTACATTGTACAGTAAGTAATATATGTATTTTGTACAATTGTTCTTGCATCTACTTCACCGCTCGCACAGTTTAGTCGCGTGAGTGACGAATGTTGAAATCAGAGAAAGGCCTCGCAGTTGGTACTCGGGATGCTAACAGAACACTGCAAAAGCTTTCGACCCGTTTTTCGACAGGCGTGCATGGGTTTGAATGAGTTGGGGAATGATTCGTGGTAGAGACTTCAACGTTCCCGTAGATGGCTTACTGAGTTTATGAATTCAGTCGCTTGCATAGTGGAACGATATATCGTTACAAGTGAATTTGTCCTTTAATCATGGCAGTTGCAGAAGAACGTGATCGAAAATCTGCGTGTCAATGTGTTGATTGATTGATTGAGCTCGGTTTTGATTTGAGTTGGAATAGAGTCTCACTTGTCCCATGAGCCACTGGTAGTCTCCCCTTCCATTATGTGAAAGGACAGATACGCCTTTCGAAGTATCGTGAAATTTCCATGGAGATCACAGTTACTTATATGGTTAAAAAAGCATAAATTGTCCAATAAGAATCACAACCAAAATCACCATTGATTTTCACAAATATTCAAATGGATCTTCATAAATTTTCAGCAGTGTCCAGAAACTAGTAGCTCGGGTGTGCTCATTAGTTATTGATCTGGCAGTCGTTCGATGGTATATCAGTGGTTTGCTGGTAAAACCGCCGTGGCCAACAGAGGAAAAACAGCCAATAAGAGTTTTAACAGGTGCTTCTCCCGCGTTCCAGACTCGTTTGTTCAATTTCCGAGGTGCTTCTCCTCCAGACTCGTTTGTTCAATTTCCGAGAACATATTCATCAGGGCAATCAGCCAGTTAAAAGGTGTTTCCCTGGCAATTTGATTGGTTCATTGTTTATGCATGTTGCGTTGTGGTCTACAGTAAAACCAATCGGGTGCAAGGACCGTAGATCAATAAATTTTCCAGTTTACTTTCCTACTCGTCGGTCAATTTGATGGATATAAATTGCCTTTGGGAATTTCACACACGCAGTCCGGATACAGAAGTTACCTCGGTTTTTCACAGAACGTTTACAAGCCAGTTGTTGACAGTTTATTGAACAAACGAGCAGCCAACAGAACAGCAACCAGTAAACGCACCCGACCTACCAGATTTTGGACACTGCAAAAAAGTGCTGATAGTCCTGCCAGACTTACTCTGCAACAGACCAGCAACCAGTAAACGCACCCAAGCTACCAGATTTTGGACACTGCAAAACAGTGCTGATAGTCCTGCCAGACTTACTCTGCGGATTTTCAGATAACCGTCGTGATTAGTTCCTCGATGATGGTGTCTACTTGTTTGGCAAGCCAACTGCCAAACATGGCTAACAAATCAGTGGCTTCCCGATGCGAGTAATGTGTTCATCCATCCCATAAAATACTATTCGTCAAGCAAAACACCTCTCTGGACTTAAAAAAGCAAAAAACTCTTCTGGACTTGACAAAAAATGTTGGTTATAAAGTAAACGTAAAATTATATTCAATCACTACGAAAACCGTTCAGAAAGTTGGACTACAACTTCGCTGAATATTTCCTTGTGTCGCGTACAACCTTTCCGGAAAACTGCCAGGAATCAGACGGGCACAAATAGTGTTCTGAAGTTCAGAATGAATTAGACAAGCGCTGATTTGCTGCCGAATACGACTTGCTTCAGCATACTATGAACAATAAAGACAGCTGGAACCTAACAAGCAAAACGCATAGGGTGGTTTTATTCGGTTACGTTATGGCGGTTGACTGAATATGTGGGCTGCTTGTTGCATTCATCCTCACCCTGGGGTCCGAGTTTGTGCTTGGGAACACCACTTGGCCGAATGTATAATCATGGTGTCTGGCTGATCAAAGCCTGATTCCCTTAATGCATGAGCCCAGACCATCAGTTGAGTACATGCATGACTGATAGCCTTTGGGATTCGCTCTAGTTTTGTTTGAAATGCATCCCTTCACAAAAAGGGTTTATTGCTATGTTCTGGCAAAATATTCATCGATTGTTCAGTCGACAAGCCAAGTCAAATGAGTCACTTTTTTGTGTTTTAGTGTTGTGGACCATAGTCTACTTACCGCCTTCATATTACCGTGAACCCAGGTCTGGATAGCCGATTGACAGCCTGGTGCGCTTGGTCAAACCAGGACAAGTCAATGCATGTGTGAAATGGCTGATCTATTGATCCTTGTCGCGCACAAGCGGGTCAAAAAAGCGATACTAAGACAGACAACCTGTCAAGGGCGAGTGAAGAACAACCAATGAAATCTGTCTCAACCAAAACGGTTATTCCATTGGCAGTTAAGTAGTCCTGTTACGTTCGGAGCTGCTTCTCCTAATAATTAGTGGACGTTTGGATTAAAATCCTCTTTTATGCTAATTTTTGGCCGAGTTTGTGTTGCGATGGATGTTAAAGACCCCAGCAAAACCAAGACAATTAGGCGTTGTTAACTCGTAAGCGACATCAGACACAAGACCGCATGAACCCAATGCAAACACATTGGTTTTGGCGGTCGAAAGACAGAAAAGTATAAACGTGACCAGTAAGGGACTCACCAGTTCTGTTTGAGTTTTAAAATTATTAGGAGAACTAGCTCCGAACGTAATGGGACTACATAAAAACCAATGGAATAACCGTTTTCGTTGAGACAGATTTCATTGGTTGTTCTTCACTCGCCCTCAAATGAGTTGTATTCTTAGTATCACTTTTTTTGACCCGCTTGTACGCGACAGTGATCAAACGGGTCAGCTGGTTCACACGTTCGTTGACTTTTCTGGTTCGGTCAGTCGCACCAGGCGATCAGGTGGCTATCCAGACCGGGGTTCACGGTAACAAGAAGGCATTAAGGAGACTGTGGTCCACGACAAAATTTGGCCAAAATCGAGTGGAAAGACAGAGTTCATTCAAATAGCCGCCCAACAGGAAGCTATATAACTCATGTACCCAGTGACAGATGGTTTTTGAGGGCGGCCTTTCTCTTCCCAGATCTTTTCAAGGGAGTTAGAGGAATTGTGCGTGATGCATTTGAAATCTTGAGTATAATCACCAGAAACGTCCTAATATATCATCAATCTAAAAATGGATCACAGACTCACAATTAATCTTTTCACTTTTCCGGAGAACCCTGCTGATTTAAGGCGTCCATAGCATTTAAAATGTGAGATATCCGTGCTTACTTCCTGCACCCTCAACGTGTACGGTTGTTATCACGCTGCTTAAAGACCTGTCGATTCGTTCATCTACACTTTTACTCCCAAGTATCACAGCAAAATCCTTCAGGCAAACTCATCATCCCGAACAGTCGCCTCACCCCTATTTCTGTAGAGCGTAGCTGCGGCCTGCCCAATCGACCCCCACCCAGACCACAAGACAAGTCAAAGCCAGAAAAGAAATTATTAAAAATGGAATGCGTTGGGGTAACCAATCAGCACGAGTGAACGCGGACCACAACGCAACAAGGGTCACAAATGGACCAATAGCTTCAAGAAAATCACTGTCTCCAAGTAGTCAATCAAGTTAGAAGATAACAGATAGTCTTTTATGAGTTCGTCACAAGAAAGAAGCGTAACACAATAATGGCTCTTTACGATTACCCCCAGGATCGTTGCCGTCACAGTCTACTCAATGCCCTCTTATCACCGCGAGCCCGGGTTTGGATAGCCTTTCGATCGCCTTGTGCGCTTGGCCAAACCAGAGAAGTCAATGAACGTGCGAGCGAGCTGCTCTATGGATCGCTGTCGCGTACAGCCGGGTAAAAAAAGTGACACCAAGAATACAACTGATCTATCGAGGGCGAGTGAAGAACAACAAATGAACCAACATAGGGTTGACGGAAACCCGGGGATCGCGCCTACCTGATGAGCCCCAAG